CAGTCCTAACTGTATACCTCAGAATGTGACCTTATTTGGAGACAGAGTTTTTACAGAGGTAATCAAGTTAAAACAAGGTCATTAGGATGGGCCCTAATCCAATATGACTGGTATCCTTAACAAAAAAGTGAAAATTTGGAAACAGAGGGAAGGCAATGTGAAGAGACATAGGGAAGAAACAGCCATCTACAAGTTAAACAGGAGAAGCCAGGAACAGAATCTTCCCTCACAGCCCTCAGAAAGAATCAACCCTGCTAATAACACCTTGATTTTGGACTTACAGCCTTACAGTATGAGACAATAAATTAATGTAGTTTGAGCTACCCACTCTCAGGTACTTTGTTATAGCAGCCCTAGTAAATTAATACACCACGGACTCAAAAAGTTCTGCACACCCTAAACCAGATGAATACGAAGAACACTACACCTAGGCACATCACTGTATAACTACTGAAACCAAAGATAAAAATATTAATAGCAAATCAAATGCAGTAAAATAAAAAGGCTAATAACACTAAATAAATACTGACTACATAAAACAACTATAGAATATGTATGTGTATAATTAAAATATATAACAATAAAAACATATAAACATATAAATCTGAATGGTGGAAATAGTTCCTTTGATGCTATCTCCAAGGAAGCTATGAAGTTAAAGACCTAAGCAGTGATTTCAGCAGCTGCCCAGTGCCAGGCAAAGAGTTTAGAGTTTATGCACTGTCAATTTAGAGAGGCTTAGTAAACACCTTCACTTCCTATTAAAACCCCACAAAGGCCATTGATTAGGAGTAAGGATCATGTCCCAGGACTAAGGGTTATGTCCAAACAAACCTAAAACCAAGCCTTCACATCACAGTGATCCACTGATAATTTAACTGATTGCCAGAAAAAAACCTCAACACTTTTTAAAGGTAAAATGATACAATTCACAGTTTCCACAAGTATCACCCAGAAGGTCTCCTATAAAATAAATTCTTAGACAAGCAAACAGATAGCATATATAGGTATGATTAAAGTACACACACACACACACACACACACACACACACACACACACACATCACAGAAAAAACAGTCAATAGGAGTACACCTAGAAATGACCCAGATACTGGAATTAACATATAAGGCCTTTAAGACAGTGATTACAAATACTACGTTAAAGAATTTTTAGGAAAAGATGAAGAACGGATGAATAGATGGGAAATCTCAACAAAGAAAAGGAGCTCTAAGAAAGAACGAAATGAAAATTCTAGAACTGAAAAATACAGCAGACTGGGCTTAGTAGAACAAAGAATATTTGAAGACAAGTAAATATAAAGTAGCCAAAAATAAGTCCAGAGAGAAAAAAGAATGAACAGAACAGACAGAAATCTAAGAACACATGGGACGTATAACTGGAGTCCCAGAAGGAAAAGAGAGTGAATGAAAAAGAAGGAATATTTTAAAAGATAATTGTCGAATAGGTTCTAAAACTGATGAACAATATCAAACCACAGATCCAAAAAGGTCAGTGAACCCCTTTTATCCCTTTGTAGCAGGATAAGCACAAAGAAGAAATCTAGGCACAGCTGACTTCTCAAGGGACGACAGGTAAGGAAACATTTTCAGGTAACGAAAGAAAAAAACTGCCAACTTATATAATTCTTTATCCAGTGAAAACACTTCTCAAAAATGAAGGTAAAATAAAGACATTTTAAGATAAACAAAAACTGAGAAATTCATCACCAACAGTCCTGCACTATAAGAAATGTTAAAGACTTTAGGCTGAAGGAAAATGATCCCAGAGGGAAACATGGATCTGCAAAAAGGAACGAAAAGCACTAGAAATAGTAAATATAAATTAATTTCTTTAAAAGTCTACTCACTGTTTAAGAAAAATAATAAAAATTACACTACATAAAATATACATAAGTAAAATAGTTAACAATAGCAGAAAGACCTGGGGGAAGGGAATCCTACTACTGTTAAGGTTCTTACATTATACATGAAGTAACAGAATATTAATTTAAGGTTTTATTATAACAATATTAAGATAGTAATATTAAATTAAGATAATTTAATTTAAGGCAATAAGTTAAGAGTGTCAGATTTGATTAAAAAACAATAAGCATAAAACAAAACCAAGATCCAACTATATGCTGTTTGTAAAAGACACATTTAAGTATAAAAACCTGTGAGATGTGGGACTTCCCTGGTGGTCCAGTGGCTTAGACTCCAAGCTCCCAATGCAGGGGGCCCGGGTTCAATCCCTGATCAGGGAACTAGATCCCACATGCCTCAACTAAGAGTTTGCATGCCGCAACTAAAGCTCGTGCATGCCGCAACTAAAAGATCCCGCATACCACAACGAAGATCCTGCATGCCACAACTAAGACCTGGCACGGCCAAAACCAAACAAACAAAAAACTTGTGAGATGCAGCTTAGAGGGAAGTTTACTGTGTTAAATATACATAGTTTTAAAAAGCTGAAAATCAATTATCTGAATATTCATCTTAAAAAATCAGAAAAAGTATAGGAAATGAAATAATATAGAAGAAAGAATATCTCCCAGTGTACTGCATATAACAAGAGTAAGTTTTATTTTGTGAAACTTTTGCTGTATATGTGCACGTGTGTATGGTTCTTAGTTTCCATGTAAAATCTTTCTTTCATATGGACTGTGGTCAAAATCTTTTTGAGAATATTGCTTTAAGGTTTAACTGTTTCCACAAAAGTCAACCTGGATTATTTCAATAACCTACTAACTTGTCTCCCTACCTTTAATAGTCTCCTATTCTCCATTCTGCTATCTTGATTCCAAAATGCAGACTTGATCATATCATCGGCAAAATTAAAATCCTACAACTGCCTTCCACTGCTTTCAGGGTAAAATTCAAAGACCTTAGAATAAATATAGGCCTTTCAGGACCATGTTCTTGACTCCCTCTCCAGTTTTATTTATCACTTCCTCATAAATGCCTAGCTATAAGAAACTACTTTCAGGTCCACCAATTTTGCCATGCTCTCTTTCATTCCCATGCTTTGAAAATGCTCTTCAGAGAATATGGTCTTTCATTTAGCTAATTACTGCAACTTTAGAGTTTAGCTCCTTTGGGAAAAAATTTCTCCATATCCTCCATTCCCACTCCCAAATTAGCTAAAGTACCTATTCAATCTGTTCTCTTAGCACCCTATAGTCACCTTCGTTATAGCATTTATTACACAGAATTGCAATTATGTGTGCTCAATGAATACTTGCTGAACAAACTTCTCCCAGCCATTTGCTAAGGATCCTCCAAAGCAGATTAAATGATTTTATATAATTTCATAAATAAGTAACGATGGTTCACTTCTCAAAAATTATAAAATGGTCTTTTGAGTAAAAATGGTAAACTAATCACTCCTGTTCAGTGTCTCTCCCTCCTGGGACTCCTATAAAATGAATAGTAAAGGAACACAAACGTATAAACCAGTAACAAGGAAAAGGTTTTGTAGGAGTAAGAAGTAATGAGGCAGGGTAGAGAAAAATGAGGTTAGGAGTATGCAGAAAGGGAGTTATACCTGGGAAAGGAGCTGACCTGTCTTGCAGAATCCCTGAGAAGTTTTGATCAAGGAAATGATGAGTATAAAAAAGTGGAGTGAGTAGTGGAGTTGAAATCAGAAATTAAAAGTGTGAATACCTTGGGGACTTCCCTGGTGGTGCAGTGGTTAAGAATCCATCTGCCAATGCAGGGGACACAGGTTTGAGCCCTGGTCCCGGAAGATCCCACATGCCGCAGAGCAACTAAGCCTGTGCGCCACAACTACTGAAGCCCGTGCACCCAGAGCCCATGCTGCATGAGAAGCCACCGCAGTGAGAAGCCCACACGCTGCAACGAAGAGTAGCCTCCGCTTGCCTCAACTAGAGAAAGCCCATGCGCAGCAATGAAGACCCAATACAGCCAAAAATGAATAAATAAATTTATTAAAAAGAAAAAAAGTACTATATACTGGGAATTCCCTACAGGTCCAGTGGTTAGGACTCCCTGCTTTCACTGACGAGGGCGCAGGTTCAATCCCTGGTTCGGGAGTTAAGATCCCACAAACTGGGTGGTGTAGCCAAGATCCCACAAACTGAGTGGTGCAGCCAAAAAAAAAAGTACTTAAAGTAATATATACTTTTATAACCATATACAGTGATTAAAACTAAAAAAAAATTAAAGTACAAAACAGTTTCTTTCAGGGGCCATTAGACAAATGTCGAATTATCAACCCCTCTTCCAGTTGAGGTGGGGAGAAAGAGGTTCCTTAATTGAGTTGATGAAATTCAGAAACAATGTTTCCATCTAGTATCCTGGGTTTAAAAATATATATATACATACTTCTGCCCAATTTTATATCCCGTAACAGTAACTTGGCACACTCCCACTGAAACACTAAGACATGAGGCTTTAGCAAAGCTTAATGGTCAGGGTATTCACGAGCTTTAGCATCAAAAAGACCGAGGTCTTAATTCAGACACCTTCACTTGCTAGCTATAATACTACCTTGTACAAGGTTACTAACCCTCTTCAAAAGTAACTTCTTTGGGACTTCCCTGGTAGCGCAGTGGTTAAGAATCCTCCTGTCAATGCAGGAGACAGGGGTTCAAGCCCTGGCCTCGGAAGATCCCATATGCTGCGGAGCAACTAAGCCCGTGTGCCACAACTACTGAGCCCATGTGCTGCAACTACTGAAGCCCACACGCCTAGAGCCCGTGCTCCGCAACAAGAGAAGCCACTGCAATGAGAAGCCCCCGCATTGCAACGAAGAGTAGCCCCCGCTAGCTGCAACTAGAGAGAGTCCGCGCACAGCAACGAAGACCCAACACAGCCAAAAAGTAAATAAATTTATAAATAAATTTATAAAAATAAAAGTAACTTCTTCATCTGTGAACTAGAGATAATAATACTTATCCTAATAGAGTTAGATAATACATATAAACAGTCACAGATATATGGTAAGCAATTGATGTAAGACAGCTTTAATCATTACTTACATTGGCCACCACTTTTACTTCTTTGTACTGTGCTTCATAGAAAATTCCAGCATTTTCAAGTGCTTCTGTTAGTGAGGGCCCATTTTTCACCTGCTTATCTAGTCCATTCACAAATTCCTCCAGCTTGGCACTTGCCTCTTCAAATTCTTTGGAGAATTTCTTCCCACCTGTCTTATCTAAAATAACAAGAGGAAGTATTCTGTAATATTCTTAGTCTCATAGTTACACCTTAAAGAAGCTTCTCTAAATCACAAAAATCCCAAACAGATTATTTAAATGGTTTGTGTGATCCTGCTGTAGTGAAGCAAGAGTGCATGATGAAGACACTTGTAATTAAGGTAAAGAAAGAAAGTTCAACTAAATGAAAGTTTGTTGACTGCTTTTATTCACAAATTTGATGTCACACTGCTACTTAGGAATAATGGAATGAGGCTCAATTCTGTACACTTATACCATTAACTTTTATACTATAGACTATAATAAGATATATCTCTTAGATGAAAAAACAGAGGTTCAGAAAAGTAAAGACAGGGCTTCCCTGCTGGTGCAGTGGTTGAGAGTCCACCTGCCGATGCAGGGCACACGGGTTTGTGCCCCGGTCCGGGAAGATCCCACATGCCGTGGAGCGGCTGGGCCCGTGAGCCATGGCCGCTAGGCCTGCGCGTCCGGAGCCTGTGCTCCGCAATGGGAGAGGCCACAACAGTGAGAGGCCCGCGTACCGCAAAAAAAAAAAAGAAAAAAAAAAGAAAAATAAAGATAAAGTGACTTCTTTGTGTATCAGGCTTAAAGATTATTCTTTCCTATCTGAAGATCTCTGGTAATTTGATATTAGAAGAGTACCATGAATTCTTTTTCAACAATAGTAACACTGTATGACATTGTAAACTGTTTCTTACTCTCCTAAGTACTTTTTTCCCAGTGATGTTGGAATATGGCCTTAGGTGTGGATATAAATTTAGGCTTTGCATTTTATCAGCTGTGTAACTTGGGCAAGCTTCTTATCTCCTTATGAAGCCTCAGATTTCTCATGTCCAAAACAGAGGTTTTTAACATGCTTCTGAGTTGTTGTGAGGACTAAATTAGATAACATATGTTAAATTTAAAGCATGGTACAAGAACAAAATAGGTGCCAAAACAAATAGCTGGTAGTCATTTACTCATTATTTCAAAAATAGTTATCGAATGCCTATTATGTGCCAGGTATTGCTCTAGGCACTAGGATACAGCAAGAACAAATAAGGATAATTTCTACTTTCATGAGATTTACATTCTAATAAATTAATGATTATTATTTATAATCTACAATGTAAGGAAAAGAGAGCAAGTCACTAGATTTTATGAGGCATTACAGTGACCTTATTTATTTATTATTGTTTTGGCTGCACCATGTGGCTTGCAGGATCTTAGTTCCCTGACCAGGGATCGAACCCAGGCCCAGAGCAGTGAAAGTGCCACATCCTAACCACTGGACCACCAGGGAATTCCCTACAGTGACCTTATTGAAGAGCACAGCCAAACCAGTTAATCACTCGTGTGAAATACCCCTATCATAATCCAATACATCAAGAAAGGACTAGAAGTGGGGAAAAGGACAGAATTTACTATTTAAAAAATTTTTTAAAAATTTACTTCTTCTCCAGCTTTATTGAGATATAATTGGCATATAACATTGTTTAAGGTGTACAATTTGAAGGCTAGGAATTTACTTATGAAATTGACATGCATGAAATCACCACCTGGGAAAGAGGTACCACAACTATTCTCTATAATGTGAGGTCTTTATGCAAGAAGTCAGTCTGATCACTTGAAGATGACATATCTAGAAAGAAAATCCGACTTATTCTATTTAAAGGGATGTAGGTATTACCTTTTAAGCATTTGAGAGTTTCTGTGCTGCACACATCCACCCTCATAGTTGACAGCTGTTTTTCTTTCAATTCTATCTGATCTTCTGAGCGCTTGTACAGCAACAGCTCTTCAATGAGGGCCTGAGACTGAACACAGACCAGGGTCATATTTAATTTATGAAATCATCCACTTATTCTACCTTTCCACACTGAAGTAAAACATGAATAAAACCTAACAAAGTCACGAGAGGCAAAAACCCTTCATATTTCCTCATAATCGGGGATATCAAATATCAACATCAATTCTCATGTCAAAACCATATTTTCAGTTACATACTTTAAAAGAAACTTTTCCTTATTTATTCAAAGCTAATTTATGCTAATTTATGGATACAGAGTTAAGATCGAAACAGACAAAGGTCCACTTATATCTTCTTCAAATTTTAACTAGATAAACGGTCTTATTATGTTAACTTTAAACAAATTTTAATTTAATACAGTTTTACAGAAAGATGAATCCCTTGTTGGGATTCAACACAAAATTCAGCTGGTAATAGATACTTCAGAAGAAGCTTACTTCATCCTTTAGAGATACAGATAAAACTCTTAAGTTTTAGACAGTCTGAACATGTTTAAAATATAACTGATGTATAACTGAATAAAAATAAATCTTTCAGGATGGACTATACAGAAAGCTGACACAAAAGGGGTGAATAATATTTTGGCATGTTGAACATATTCTGTAACTTACTCGAAATTCAGCAACTATCTTAGACTTGAGAGCAGCTTTTGGATTCGTGGATGCTGTTGGAATTAAACAAAAGGTCATTTAAGAATATAGACACAAAATGTTGACTAATATTCAGGAAAATTTCCAGTTTTATAGTTAAGGGTGTACTCTTTGAATATATGTCGAACATGCACATTTAAATCATGGTATAATTCCTAGAATAGTGGAATATGAAATCTGAACACTCCCAAGCATGGTAAATATAAAAATACACTATTTAGATAGGTCTAACCTACTTACCTCCAACATACCCTGTAAGTCTGAAGTCCTAGAATTATTGATTTGGAGATACTGAGATACATGAAGTACCTTTTTGCCTAGTCTGAGTGTAAGAGGATCTTAACACCTCAAATTAAGAGTGTTCAGGAGCAGGACATCCAATTAATCCTGCACACTGGCTGAAGAAAATTTACTTAGAAGCATCAACTCTATTCCTATGTATTTAATTCTGGATTTCTTTTTCTGCTGACTCAATTCATAGCAAAAATAGGCAGGGAAAGTTCTAAGTACAATACCACTGTGGTTGAACTTTGGCTGAAATGATGACTCTTGTTGTTCCTAAGCATGCAACTTACGACCAAAAGGATGTGAGAGGATTCCCTTAATCATGATGAATATCACATGCTTGCTGGAGCAAAACCATCCCAAGTGTCTTGTTTCACCTCCCAATTCTCACTGTCTTTTACCTTGTTCCCTCCACACCTTCAAGTCTTTCTCAATATTCCTCAGTTTGGCCCACAGCAGCCTATCACATGCAGTATTCCACTCCCTTGATCTCATGCTGGGTAAACATGATAAACACAGCAGGAGCTCCTGTTAGAGAATGAGCTTCTGGCCAGGATTTGAGGCCCATGTCTAATCTGGTAGAGTATATCCCCAAATCTGAAGGATTTCATGGCTCCCACAGAAAGGCTTCTTAATGCCTAGTCTCCTCTTCAGCTCTGTTGTTTAATGCCAGCTGCCTCTAACTTCACATATCCTTGAACCTGAAAGTTAGCCTGGGCACTATCACGTATTTTTTTCTTCTTTCAATCCCCCAACTACTCTTGAATCTTCACTCATTTAAACCCTTTTTCTGCATTTCCTTTGTTTAAAAGTAGTTCTATTTTTATTTTTTTAAAGAAGTAACTCCATGATGGCTTGTTTAGTGCAAGTCACTGGGAGCCTCCCAGGCCTGGAAAACACAGGCTTGCCCATGGTTTATGCCAGGTACGATGTCAAATGGTCTACATTTTCTTCTGCTCCAAAAAGAGGAGGTAATTTATATTAGTTGAGATTTTGTTCCTTACTTTGTGATTTCTTCCACTGCTTATTCGGTTGTTTGTTCAGATTTTCTTTCAGCTGCTTCTGAGTTTTGAAAGTGGTACCTGGAAAACATTTCAGTTTTTGCAATCTGGCGTTATGGGAAGCTGTTCTGTCTGTCCACTTCAGTGTCAAAGTTGAAGCATGAAAAAAGGCAATCCGAGACTGTGTGTTGTTTCTTTCTTTCCTTTTCTTTCATTTTTATAAAAAGATAAAAACACCCACCAGATCTAAGAAGCTGATAAATAAACATGATTTTACATCAATGAAATAACAAATTTTGAGAATAGGGTAGAAGCTTAAAAACACCAGGTAACACATTCAAATGAAGAATTTAACAGCTTCTTAGAAGATGCTATTTTTAAAGCAAATTTCTAGTCAAATTATGGTCATGGTATCAGATATCACCTACTGCTATTCAATGACTTAATTACACGTATCTAATACATAGGAACTAAGTAATTTAAATAACACCAGTACACAACTTACTGCAAATCTAAACCAAAAGAGAGACCGAAGAATGCCAATACATGCTTACTACCCAACAGCTTACTGAAAACTGAAACCCTGTCCAAAAATTGTCCCATAAGTAAGAGGACAGGGCAGTAATTATTAAACACAAAAGATGAACAGTTTAAAGCACTCAACTGAAGTAAAGCAAATGCAGGAAAATAATTAGATGGTCAACATCACTTAATATGCTTTACTTTCTTTAGTCAATAAAAACGAAATTCAACCCTCCCCAAACCAATTCCACTTAAATTTTAATGCAAACCGATTTTTACAATTATTTAATTTTAAACAAACAGGGCCAGATCCAAAAGTTTATTTTTCGTTATTAAGCAAAAGGACCAAATCTATAAAATATATATATATAATTTTAAAGACTGAACAATGACTCAATCTTTCTTTTAGGAGAGAAAAAATACTTACTCAAAGCTTCTCTTAACGCCATAATCATTTCTTCTGGGTATACATTTCTATCTTCCCAGATTTTAAAGATTCGTTCTATAGACTTAGAGACAGATGGATCCCTGAGAAGAAAGAAAAAGTGAGACAGACATATAAAAATGTTAACTTACATCTCAAACTAGAAATCTGAAAATAAAGTTGTCAACAAAATTATTTTCCAAATGTCTTCTCATGTTTATTTTAAAACATTTTTTCCTGGTGTCTAGGGCTAAAATCTTAAAAACTCTTATTCAACACTTTTTACTACTGATATAGATGAGGCTATGGATAACACATTGAACTTTTAAAAAATTTACTGAGAGTAATATTGGTTCATAATATAAGTTTCATGAGTACATTATATTTCTACTTCTGTATACACTAATGATTATACACTCATGAGCATGCTCATGATCAAAAGTTTAAGTTTCCATCCATCACCATACAGTTGACTCCATTCATCCATTTCACACTCCCTCCACTACCCTGCCACGCTGGTAACCACTACTCGGTCCTCTGTATCCATGTGTGTGTTTGGTTTGGTTTGTTCAGTTATTTTATTTTTAATTTTTAAAACATATTCCATGTATGAGTGAAAACATAAGGTACATCTTTCTTCACCTGACTTAACTTCATTTAGCCTAATACCCTCAAGGTCCATCTGTGTTGTCACAGATGGCAAGATTTCGTCTTTTTTTTTTTTAGTGGCTGAATGGTATTCCACTGTGTGTGTGTATATATATATATATATATATATCTCACACCTTCTTTATCCATTCATCCATTGATGGGCACCTTAGGTTGTTTTCCTATCTTGGCTATTGTAAATAATGCTGCAATGAACAGAGGGGTGCATATATCTTTTCAAATTAGTATTTTCATATTCTTTGGATAAATACTCAGAAGTAGGATATCTGGACATGTGGTAGTTCTATTCTTAATTTTTTGAGGAATCTCCATACTGTTTTCCATAGTGGCTGCACGGATTTACACTCCCACCAGCAGTGTATGAGGTTTCCATTTTTTCCACATCCTCTCCAACACTTGTTATTTCTTGCCTTTTTGATAACAGCCATTCTAATGGGTGTGAGGTGATATCTCACTGTGGTTTTGATTTGCATTTCTCTAATAATTAGTGATGTTCAACATTTTTTCACATGCCTGTTGGCCATTTGTATGTCTTCTCTGGAAAAATGTCTATTCAGCACCTCAGCTCATTTTTTTTTTTTTTTGCGGTACAAGGGCCTCTCTCACTGTTGTGGCCCCTCCCGCTGCGGAGCAACAGGCTCCGGACGCGCAGGCCCAGCGGCCATGGCTCACGGTCACAGCCGCTCCGCCGCACGTGGGATCCTCCCGGACCGGGGCACGAACCCGCGTCCCCTGCATCGGCAGGCAGACTCTCAACCACTGTGCCACCAGGGAAGCCCCTCTGCTCATTTTTTAAACAGGTTACTGGTTTTGCTGTTGTTGAGTTGTATGAGTTCTTATATTTTGGATATTAACCCCATTATCAGTTATTTGATTTGCAAATAACTTCTCCTATTCAGTAGGCTGTCTTTTTGTTTTATCGATGGTTTCCTTTGCTGTGCAGAAACTTTTTAGTTTGATGTAGTCCCATTTGTTTATTTTTCCTTTTGTTTCCCTTGCCTGAGGAGACATATCCAGAAAAGTAATGCTAAGACCAATGTCAAAGACCTTACAGCCTACGATTTCTTCTAGGAGTTTTATAGTTTCAGGTCTTACATCAAGTCTTTAATCCATTTTGAGTTAATTTTTGTGTCTGTTGTGAGACAGTGGCCTAGTTTTGGGGTTTGTTTTGTATGTTGCTGTCTTGTTTTTCCCACTACCATTTACTGAAGAGACTATCCTTCCTCCATTGTATGTTCTTTGCTCCTTTGTTGTAAATTAGTTGTCCATAAATGCATAGGCTTATCTCTGGGCTTTCAATTTTGTTCCACTGATCAAGGTATTTGTTTTTCTGTTAATACCATGCTGTTTTGGTTACTATGGCTTTGTAATATCATTTGATATCAGGGTGTGTGATACCTACTGATTTGTTCTTTTTTCTCAGGATTACTTTGGCTATTCAGGGTCTTTTGTGGTTCCATACAAATTTTAGAATTTTTGTTCTATTTTGGTGAAAAACGTCCTTCAGATTTTGATTGGAATTGCATTGAATCTGCAGATTGCTTTAGGTAATATGAACATTCTGACATTAATTCTTTCAATCCATGAGCGTGGAATATCTTTCCATTTATTTGTGTCTTCTTCAATTTCTTTCAACAATGTCTTATAGTTTTCAACGTACTGGTCTTTCACCTCCTTGGTTAAATTTATTCCAGGTATTTCATTCTTTTTTGTTGCAATTGTAAATGGGATTGTTTTGTTTTCTTAATTTCTTTTTCTGCTAGCTCATTGTTATCATACAGAAATGAAACCAATTTCTGTATACTGATTTCATATTCTGAAATTTTACTGTATTTGTTTATTGATTCTAATAGGTTTTTAAAACAATTTTTAAAATTAATTATTTATTTAGTTTTGGCTGTGCTGGGTCTTCGTTGCCACACGCAAGCTTTCTCTAGTAATGGCGAACAGGGGCTACTATTCGCTGTGGTGCGCGGGCTTCTCATTGCAGTGGCTTCTCTTGTTGCAGAGCATGGGCTCTAGGCATGCGGGCTCAGTAGTTATGGCTCACAGGCTCTACAATGCAGGCTCAGTACTTGTGGTGCCTGGGCTTAGTTGTTCCACGGTATGTGGGATCTTCCCGGACCAGGGCTTGAACCCATGTCCCCTGCACTGGCAGGCGGATTCTTAACCATTGCACCATCAGGGAAGTCCCTGATTCTAATAGGTTTTGGTGAAGTCTTTAGGATTTTCTATATATAAAATCATGTCATCTGCAAATAGTGACAGTTATACTTCTTCTGTTCCAATGCCTTTTATTTCTTTTTCCTGCCTAATTGCTCTGGCTAGAATTTCCAGTACTATATTGAATAAGAATGGCAAGAGTATACATCATTGCCTTGTTCCTATTCTTAGAAGGACAGCTTTCAATTCTTCACCACTGAGTATTACGTTAGCTGTGGGTTTGTCATATACTGCCTATATTATGTTGAGGAACATTCCTTCTGTACCCACTCTATTTTTTTTTTAATAAATAAATTTATTTATTTTTTAATTTTTGGTTGCGTTGGGCCTTCGTTGCTGCGCGTGGGCTTTCTCTAGCTGCAGCGAGCAGGGGCTACTCTTCGTTGTGGTGCGCTGGCATCTCATTGCAGTGGCTTCTCTTGTTGCAGAGCATGGGCTCCAGGTGCGTGGGCTTCCACAGTTGTGGTGCATGGGCTCAGCAGTTGTGGCTCGTGGGCTCTAAAGCACAGGCTCAGTAGTTGTGGCGCAGGGGCTTGTTGCTCCGCAGCATGTTGGATCTTCCCGGACCAGGGATCAAACCCGTGTCCCCTGCATTGGCAGGCAGATTCTTATCCACTGCGCCAGCAGGAAAGTCCCTGTACCCACTTTATTGAGGGTTTTTAATTATAACTGGGAGTTGAATTTTGTCAAATGCTTTTTCTGCCTCTATCGAGATGATCATATATTTTTTGTTTTCTTTTGCGGTACGCAGGCCTCGCACTGCTGTGGCCTCTCCCGTTGCGGAGCACAGGCTCCAGACGCGCAGGCTCAGCAGCCATGGCTCACGGGCCCAGCCGCTCCACGGCATGTGGGATCTTCCCGGACCGGGGCACGAACCCGCGTCCCCTGCATCGGCAGGCAGACTCTCAACCACTGCACCACCAGGGAAGCCCGATCATGTTTTTTAATCCTTCTCTTTGTTAATGTATCATGTTGATTTACAGATGTTGACCCACCCTTGCATCCTTGGAATATATCACACTGGATCATGGTGTATGATCCTTTTATGATTCAGCTTGCTAACGTATTTTTCCTTTTTTTTTAAATTGACATATAGTTGATTTATAATGTTGTGTTAGTTTCTTTTTTTCTTAAATTTATTTATTTTATTTATATTTATTTTTGGCTGCATTGGGTCTTCGTTGCTGTGCACCGGCTTTCTCTAGTTGCAGTGAGCGGGGTCTACTCTTTACTGCAGTGCATGAGCTTCTCATTGTGGTGGCTTCTGTTGTTGCAGAGCATGGGCTTCAGTAGCTGTGGCTCACGGGCTCTAGAGTACAGGCTCAGTAGTTGTGGCACATGGGCCCAGTTGCTCCACAGCATGTGGGATCTTCCCGGACCAGGACTTGAACCCGTGTCCCCTGCACTGGCAGGCAGGTTCTTAACCACTGAGCCACCAGGGAAGCCCCATACAATGTTGTGTTAGTTTCTGATGTACAGCAAAGTGATTTGGTTATACACATATATATTCTTTTTCCCATTCTTTTCCATTATAGGTTATTACAAGGTACTGAATATAGTTCCCTGTGCTATACAGTAGGACCTTGTTGTTTATCTATTTTATATATAGTAGTGTGTATCTGTTAATGTCAAGTTCCTAATTTATCCACCTACCCTTTCCCCTTTGGTAACCAGAAGTTTGTTTTCTATGTCTGTGAGTCTGTTTTTGTTTTGTAAATAAGTTCCTTTGTATCATTTTAAAAGATTCTATATGTAAGTGATATCATATATTTGTCTTTCTCTAACTCACTTCATGTAGTATGATAATCTCTAGGATCCATCCATGTTGCTGCAAACAGCATTATTTCATTCTTTTTTATGGTTAATATTTCATTGTGTGTGTGTGTGTGTGTGTACACACACACACACACACACACACTACATCTTCTTTACCCATTCATCTGTCGATGGACACTTAGGTTGCTTCCACATCTTGGCTATTACAAACAGTGCTGCTATGAACACTGGGGCACATGTATCTTTTTGAATTAGTTTTCATCTTTTCTGGATACATGTCCAGGAGTGGGATTGCTGGATCATACGGTAACTCTATTTTTAATTTTTTTAAGGAACTTCCATACTGTTCTCCACAGTGGCTTCTCCAATTTACAGTTCCACCAACACTGTAGGCGGATTCCCTTTTCTCCACACCCTCTCCAGCATTTGTTATTTG